AAGGGGCCAGGTAAGAAGTCGCCTTTGCGACCATTTATAGAATGCAGGTCTTCTCATTCCAGAGTCAATGGTCGTTCCATTGGACCACACTGCCCCTCTCTCTCTTCTTTCCTCTCCCCTTCCCAAATGTAATGGGCTAGTCTAGCATTGTCAAATTCAAATGTTGGTATATTGACTTAGAAAACCACATATTAATATTATCCACATTCCATCATATCTGTATTTAATTTGTTAACTATTTCCCGATGGCTGCACTCTGGAATATTATGGGAGAGTCAGCTCCATCCCCACCAAAGACAAACCAGTTTAACCCAGAGAGTCTTGGTTTTTCCATCTATGAAATGGCAGTAATCAAGCTTGCATTCCTCCTTTCCCAGTGCAGTGCCTTGCAAAGCTTAGAGCCCAAGGCTTCCCTTGGGAAAGCAAGAGAAGCCTTGGGAGAGCAAGAGAAGCCTTGGGAGAGCAAGGCCAGGCCCCCTCAATGGAGAAAGGCAGTGACGGCGGCCCAGAGCACCAAGAGACAGGGCTGATCCTGCCCATGCTGCTTACCACTTGTATGACTTTAGGTAAATCATTCTCTCACTCTGGTCTCAGTTTCCTCATCTGAAAAATGAGGGGATTGGATTTGATGGCCTCTGAGATCCTTAATAAATGTTTATTGACCGGCTCGAGGTGGTTCGGTGGGTAGAGCACTGGGCTTGGAGTCAGGGGAAGACTTCCGTTCAAATCCAGCCTTAGATGCTTACTAGCTGTGTGACCCCGGGCAAGTCACTTACCTCTGTTTGTCTTAGTTTCTTCTGTAAAATGGGATGATAACAGTACCTATCTCACAGGGTTGTTGCGAGGATCAAATGAGATAATATTTGTAAAGTATTTAGCGCAGTGCCTGACGTATAGTAGGCTCCCTATAAATGCCTGTTCCCTTCCCCCCACATTATGATAAAAAGGTTTAGCTAGGCAGAGAAGAAAGGGGAGGGCATGTTAGGTGGAGGGACCCTTATGAACAAAGGTAAAGCACAAAGGTTGGAATGAAGATGCTATGGATGAGTATGGTACGGATCTGGAGAGAGTAGTGGCAAATAAGATTGGATAGAAGGGAAAGACATGGATTAGAAAGGGTCTTATAAGCGACTTAAAAGAATTTCCTTTTTCTTGTAGGTAACGGGTAGAAGGATGTTCTTTATTTTCTAGTTGTTAGGATGACTGTTAACAATTAGAGCTGATGGACCACCCAGCAACATGCAGTAGGTTGCACGGACAGCTCCGGAAGGCCCGATGGACCCTCTTGTCTTGAGACTTCTGGAGAAGGCTGAGTGACCACTTGGTGGAGATGTTGAAGAAGGGATCCTTAATTGGGGTTGGGTTAGATTAGTAGACCTCAGAGGCCCCTTCCTGGCTCTCAGATTCTGAGAGTGATGGGATGAAAATTGTGCTTGGGAAGATCGTTTGGGCCGTGGGGTGCAGGATGGATGGCCTGGAGAGGGGAGGCAGCAGTAACATTCAGGAACCTGAAGAGCTATTTTGTCTACTTCTCAGGGCCGTCCCAATGACTGAATTCAGGGACTCTTAAGCTTTGTTTTGTGTCCTGGACCCCTCTGGTCCTTGGTCTGGCGAAGCCTATCGGACCCCTTTTCAGAATCATGCTTTTAAATAATCGCTAAATTTCAGTCAGAGCTTAGCAAAAACAAAGACGTAATTTTTTTCTAATCCAAGCTGGGGGTCCATGGGCCCCAGGTAAGGATTCTTGCTTTAGATCAATAATACTGGTAGAATGCTTTGTAAACTGCAAAGGTCAGCTCTTACTAATTCAGGTGTGGGACGATAAAGTCTGGACTAGGGAATGGACAAATCACAGATAGCTAGAAAGGAAAAATCAACAAGACTTAATGATTAATCGGGAGTTGGGGGTAAAGGAGGGTCAGAGATAGTTTCAAGGCTTCAGGTGTGGGAGAATGGTAGTGCTCTGGAAAGAGCCAGACAAGCAGGTTTTCAGGGGCAGGAGTGCGGGGGATCAGGTTCCTGGGTCTAGAACTGGAAGGGCCTTCACGAGGATCTAATTTAACCCCCTCATTTGACAGATGGGGAAACTAAGGACAAGAAAGGTGAAATGCATTGCCTGAAGTCACACAGGTGGTATGGCACAGGCAGGATTCTCTGACTCGAGAGTCCTACTGATTCGTCTATAGCAAAGGGGCCAGGGGCCAGTGGAAGACCCAGGGTGGTTCAGTCTCATGAAAGCTAAGGAAATGGATTCATGAAAGAGGGGGTGGACTGTAGTAACAGCCTCCTCGCTTGCTGGCCATGGTTTCCTGGGCCATATTAATATAGAGTTGATTAGAAAGCGCACTAGCTTGCTTTCCCAGACCTTCCCTAACCCAGTAGAAGTCTGGTTTTATTGGGAGGCCTCGGGCTGGTGAGCATCTTTTAATTGACAGGTGCTGAGGGATGGGAAGTGATGATGCCTACAGGTGAGGGAACGTGAAGACGGGTCAGGCCGGTGCGTCTTCCAAAGTCTCGTGGTGGCTTTGAATTCTAAGGATTGAAAGTTCAGCTCCATTCCCCCAACCCCTACAAGAATCTAACGGAGGCTAGATAAAATTAGAATTCTGTGGCCTAACCTGCCCCCAACACTGCCCTTCCTCCCTGCCCTCCTTCCTTTTCAGTTTGTGAAGGGCACCTGCTCTGGAGAGGAAGGACCTGGGTTGAGATCCCATCCATGTGACCGTGGGTAAGTCACTTGAACTTTCTGGGCCTCAGTTTTCTCATCTGTAAAATGAAGGGGATAGACCAGACGGCCTCTAAGGTCTCCTCTTTGTGATGCTATGAGCCTATCTGTGATTAGATGATTCTCTGTAAACCTTTCAGAGGGTAAGTTACCTAGACCTCTGTGTTTGGGACCATTTGGTCAGGAAAGGTTTGGATTCATGTTGCAAGTGTGAGCTAGAGAGAGCTGTCGTCGACATCCACAAGTAATGCACGCATTTGTTTCTTCAAGCACTCTGGCCACCTGAAATATTCCCCTTGGTGGCTGAATAAATGGTATCGATTTTTAAAAAAAGGCTTCATAGATTTTTTTCCTTTACATCATTACAACTTCCTAATTACCCCCACCCCCTTCCCCAGCCTTCCCATATTACAGAGGGGCTCAGTTAAGCAAAACAAGTTGACACTAAAACATTTAATAGCTGTGTGACCCTGGGCAGGTCACTTGGTTTCTGCCTGCCTCCGTTTCCTTATCTGTAAAATGGGGATAATAATAATACCTAGCTCCCCCTTTGTTGTGAGGATCAAATGAGATAATAATTGTAAGTACTTAGTATAGTGCCTGGCACATAGTAGGTACTACATAGTTATTATTCTTATTCTTACTACTATTACTATTATTACTGACGTACTGACCATGGGTGAAAGTGTATGTCTTGGTCACACCTTCTTTTGAGAGGAAGGGGATGTTTTTCACCTTCACTCTTCCAGAATCAGGACTGGGCATTTGCATCGATCTAAAGTCTTGTTTCTTTGAGTGTTATTTTCCTTTTCATGATTGTGTTCCCTCTCAATGTTGCTCTCTTGGTTCTGCTCAGCCTCTGCATTAGCCATATAGGTCTTCCCAAGTTCCCCTGAATTCGTGGTATGGTGAAAGACTCCTGGTTCAGGAGCCCTGAGGACCTGGGTTTAAATCCCATCACTGACGGTTCCTATCTGGGCAACCTTGGGCAAGTCACTCAACTTTCTTTGGGCCTCAATTTCCTCTTCCGTCATGTGAGAGTCATTTGACTATGCCAGAACTAAGAATGGAATAGATAATTTTGGATGAAAATTTCATTAATGTTGGTTGTGAAATCCCTCCCCATCTTCCACACAAAGGTGTACATATTTAGAGAGAGAGAGAGAGGGAGGGAGGGAGGAGAAGGAGGGAGAGGTGAAGGGGGAAGGGGGAGAAGAGAGAAAGGAAGGGGGAGAAGAGAGAGGGGGGAGGTGAGGAGGGGGAGAGAGGGAGAGAGGAGAATAAGAAGAAGAAGAAGAAGAAGAAGAAGAAGAAGAAGAAGAAGAAGAAGAAGA